TAGTTCACTATTATAATCTCCTTTGAATGGGAGTCTTATATATAGTTCCTTTCTTCCTACCGTCGTTATTTTCTGTCTTTGAGGTTTCTCCAGTAAGTTCTTTTCAATAACGCGCTCTGGATAGCCATTATTCAGTAAAGTCTTCTTGAAATTTTCCAATTCTTGGTTTATACTGTCATACGAGCAAATTCCTCTTGCGCGTTCTGCGAGGCATTTAACTAAGTTTCGTTTACGCTTAATTGGTACGAAACTTGAAAAGTTAATATATTGACCGGTTCGTGTTGGTTTTCGATAAACCGTTCGCCTCAGACTGCCATCGTGAAGTCTTATTAGGTTTACATCGAGAAAATGAAATGCACCTTCCATTTCTAGTTCTGACGTAAACTTGATAGCATCGTGAGCTTTGTTGAAAATTTCCGTTAGTCTTTCCAGTGATACGCTGTTATTCATGAGGACAAAAATATCGTCTACATATCGGCAGTACAGTGGTAGGGAATCAATTGTATCCCGGAGCTCCTGATTTTCCAGTTTTGCAACGAAAACATCTGCCAACATGGGTCCAAGTGGAGAGCTCATAGCGTCTCCATCCGTTTGTCTATATAAATCTCCGTCGAATAAAAATTGTACATCGAATGCGCACCTTAGTAATAGTTCTTTCAGGTTGATTACGGCGATGCCAATATTTAGATCATTGGTTGTGATGTAGTCGCATAAATAGTTGATACATTCAAGTAAAGGAACATTAGTAAATAGTGACGTTACGTCTAAAAAACCCATCGTCAAGTCGTTTGCGTTCATTTCTTTTACAAGTTCCACGAATTCGAAGGTATCTTTCGAGCTGTGGTGGGCAATCCTTCGACGAACAGGTTCTAATAATTCAACTAGCCATCGAGCGACGTGGTGATACGGAGACGCAATCATATCCATGATTGGTCTCAATGGGATGCCCGGTTTATGCACTTTGAATAGACCGTATAGGCGAGGAATAGAGGTGCCAGTGGGCCTTAGTTTCTCGTAGGTAGACTTGGAAGTTATATCCTGGTCTCAAAGATTTTTCAGGGATGACATGATTCGTGACAGAAAATAACGACGGTAGGAAGAAAGGAACTATATATAAGACTCCCATTCAAGGGAG